CAAGTGTTAGTGTGTCACTTGTGTTTGCCTCTTCGTGAGGCTGTTCTCTCGATATTTTGTACTCTTTTTTATATAGTGGATTGCTCATCTCCGCCGTGGACGTATGTCAGTTGACTGAACCACGTTATATGTTTGTGTCTCTTTTGGTATTTCTCTTTGTTGTGTGATTTATCGTCGTTCAACATTTGCTTTGCTAGATTCCGCATGACACCTGATTTTACGGTCCTAACAAGTGGTATCAGAGCCTTGGTTATTTATCCAGGTTGTTACGGAATGGAGGAGAATATGAGCAAGATGGTAAGTTTAAATGGGAGAAATTATAATGTTTGGAGAAGCAAGATGAAAGACTTGTTGTTCGTGAAGAAGATGCATCTACCCGTTTTTTCAGCTCATAAACCCGAGAGTATATCCGATGAAGATTGGGATTTCGAGCACCAACAAGTATGTGGATATATACGGCAATGGGTTGAAGATAATGTTCGCAACCATATTGTGAATGAGATACATGCGAGATCATTGTGGGAAAAGCTAGAGACTCTTTATGCTTCAAAAACCGGGAACAACAAATTGTTTCTGCTAAAGCAATTGATGACCTTTAAATACAAGGAAGGCAGCCCTATCCCTGATCACATAAATCATTTTCAGGGCGTCCTTGATCAGCTATCTGGAATGGGAGTTAATTTTGATGATGAGATACAAGGACTTTGGCTTCTTAATACTCTACCAGACTCTTGGGAAACTCTTCGTGTTTCTTTGACAAATTCAGCTCCTGGAGGTAAGGTGACCATGGAATATACCAAGAGTGGTGTGTTGAACGAGGAAGTAAGGAGAAAATCTCAGGGTTCGTCCTCACAAGCAGATATCTTGGTTACAGAAGACCGGGGAGAGATAGAACAAGAGGCTCAAGGAATAGAGGTAAAAGTAGAAGTAAGTCAAGGTCCAAATACTATAATATTACATGCAACCACTATGGCAAGAAAGGACACATCAAAAGGTTTTGCCGCAAGTTGAATCAAGACACTAGAGAAGGAAAGAAAATTGGAAATAATGAGAACAATGTTGCTGCTATTGTTCGAGATGACCTTATTTTTGCTAATGATGAAAACGTCATCAATTTGGTATCCTATGAGACTAGCTAGATAGTAGATTCTGGAGCTACCTCACATGTCACACCAAGAAAAGATTTTTTCTCATTTTATACTGATGTTGATTCTGGAGTGTTAAAGATGGGCAATGCCAGTGAAGTTAAGGTGTTTGGTGTTGGCACAATTTGTTTGAAAACTAATAATGGTTCAACGTTAGTTCTTCAAGATGTCAAGCATGCTCCAGACTTTCCTTTCAATTTGATCTCCGCAGGAAGATTAGACGATGAAGGTTACCATAATGCCCTCTTTAATGGCCAATGGAAGCTCATTAAGGGCTCGTTAGTAGTGGCTCGCGTAGTCAAGTCTGGTTATTTATATGTGACACAGGGCTCTATTCTTAATGACTCGATAAATATGGTGGAAGGTGATACTTTATCAAAATTGTGGCACGGAAGATTAAGTCATATGAGCTAGGGGAATTACGTATTTGGCTAAGAAAAGTTTGCTTTCTGGATTAAAACAAGCAAAGTTGAAAAGGTGTATCCATTGTTTAGCTGGCAAACAGAAAAGGGTTTCCTTTCATAGTCATCCTCCCTCAAGAAAGCCCGATTTATTGGAGCTAGTACACTCTGATTTGTGTGGTCCTTTTAAAGTAAAGACAAAAGGTGGTGCACTTTACTTTGTGACATTCATTGATGATCATTATCGTAAGCTCTGGGTGTATCCTTTGAAATCTTAAGATCAAGCACTTGGCGTGTTTAAGGAATTTCAGGCCTTAGCTGAGAGACAGACGGGGAAGAAATTAAAATGTATTCGCACTGACAATGGTGGTGAATATTGTGGTCCCTTTGATAACTATTGCAAGGAACAAGGAATTCGTCATCAGAAAACTCCGCCCAAGACGCCTCAATTGAACGGTTTGGCAGAGAAGATGAATAGAACTCTAGTTGAGAGAGTTAGATGCTTACTTTCAGAGGCTAAACTTCCAAATACATTTTGGGCGGAAGCACTTAACACTGTTGCCTATGTTATCAATTTGTCTCCTGTTGTTGCTTTGGATGGTGATGTCCCAGACAGAGTTTGGTTTGCCAAAGATGTTTCTTATGATCACCTGAGAGTTTTTGGGTGTAAAGCTTGTGTGCATATTCCTAAAGATGAGAGATCGAAACTGGATGTCAAAACTAAGCAGTGCATCTTTATCGGTTATGGTCAAGATGAGTTTGGGTATCGTTTTTATGATCCAGTTGACAATAAACTTATTAGAAGTCGTGATGCAATATTCTTTGAAGACCAAACTATTGAAGATATTGACAAAGCTGAGAAGATAGATTCTCAAAGTAATGAGAGCTTAGTTGATATTGATCCAGTTTCAATTGCTAAGGCACCTATTGCACATGAAGGAACCCAAGGCAATGATGGAGATAGTGATCAAGATCAAAATGATCATCATGGTATAGATGTTATGGATGCTCCAGTTGATGAAGTTGTGGTTGATCAGCAACCAATTCCTGCACAGGTAACTACTTCGAATGCTCCTGAAACCTCTCTTAGAAGATCTACAAGGGAGAAGCAAAAATCCATGCGCTATCCTCCTGATGAGTATGTACTTTTGACTGACAATGGGAGAACCTGAGAATTATGATGAAGCCATGCAAGATAATCATAAAGATCATTGGACCGAAGCGATGGAAGATGAGATGAAGTCACTCCATGAGAATGGCACATATGAGTTAGTGAAATTGCCGAAAGGTAAGAGAGCTTTATCTAACAAATGGATATTCAGAATAAAGCAAGATAACCATACCTCTGCGCCTAGATACAAGGCGAGGTTAGTTGTTAAAGGTTTTGGCCAGAAGAAGGGAGTTGACTTTGATGAAATTTTCTCCCCTATTGTGAAGATGTCTTATATTCGTGTGGTTCTAGGCTTAGCTGCAAGTCTAGATTTAGAGGTTGAGCAGATGGATGTCAAGACCGCTTTTCTTCATGGTGATTTAGATGAGGAGATTTATATGGAGCAGCCTGAGGACTTCGTAGTTAAGCTTGCAGATAAGCATGCGTTTTGCAGAAAATTAGCAGGCATGAAGCCTGTCAATAATTCATCTACTTGAAGACACATTTGGCCCCTTGGCTGGAGGGGGAGTTTGTTGGGCTCATGCCCATGTTGTCCAGCCAAAGGCCCAATGGCGTAATCCTATTCTCTTTTGGTTTCCATTCCTATTTGGAATTGGATTCGGTGTTTATTCCTATGTTGAGTGGGTTTTGGCTTTAAGAGAAAGCACCACTCATGATCTATAAATAGGACAACCTTGGAGAATTATTCTATGCTCATTGATACAAGTCTTTGAAAGAATTAAGCACATAAGAGTGGCTTAGAGAGAGCTTTCATCAAGAGAGAAGAGAGAAGAAAAGTATTTGTTTTGCTGCAGATTTTTATTCCGACCAGCCAACTTCAAATCACATTTTCGATTCGTTAACCGTTGGATCGGGCTGAAATTTTGACTGAGTGTTCGTAACATCTTGGTCTTGGATTTGAACGATGGAGATCGGATTTGGAGGCTCGTAGCATCTGATTTCGAGCCTCGAACAGCAACTTCATTTTTATGGATTATACTCTTTCTTCAATTGATTAGTTGTTGATCTTGTTGCTATTGTTGCTCCGTGTTTGGCCCTTGTTGTGTAGCCAATTTGGAGAACTTTTATAACCCTCTTATTGTTATAGTGGAGTTTTTTTGGATCTTTGTGATCCCGTAGTTTTTACCTTCGATTTGAAGGGTTTTCCACGTTAAAATTTGGTGTTCTTTATCTTCTTTATTTTCGGGTTTGCCTCTTCCTCAACATAACAGACCCCTCTACAGCCTGTGTCTATCACCTGTCAAGTATGGTCCCCAGACATAGACTACGTACCTAATGAGTTCACCTAAGTAGGGTAAACTAACAGTAAGGAGATGAGTGCATGTGTTGGTAAAATGGAAAAAATAAAGACAAGTAAAATCTTAATGATAAAACAATACTACACTACACAGGAGAAGAAACAGATAGCTGTGATCCTACTCCATCGTGCTAACACCAGTCAATAGTATAACATATCTGCTAAACTACCCAACTATTACAGCATATTATATGAGCTATTTGATAACAAAAGTGCGCCTGGACAATTCGCGTTCGAAGGATATTCCTTCAGAGTGTCGGTTTGTGTGCCTGTGTTTCTTTTGGGGAGGGGGGGGCAGTGTAGCACTAATGAATTGATACTATGCATGGCAGGGGGCAAACTGAATACGGCTCTCATCAGAAAGCGCTGTTTAAGGGCCGAAATGAAACTGAATTACCAGCATGCTATTTCCAAAAACCAAAGTAGAGAAAGGCTAAAATATCCAGCTTGAAGCAACTTAGTAATTCAGACAGCTGCTGGACCCCAGGTCACAGATTCTAAGTGCTTAGACATTTTTGAAAATGCAAAATAGGCGGCTGGGGAGGTCATCATAGTGGAGGCATTTGAGTTGGAAAGTGAATAAATTTAATCAAACTTCTAAACAAAAAGGGTAATAAGTTCTGGAGTATCTCCAAATTTAATTACAAGTTTTAATATATCAAATCTTGGGAAGTCTATAACGATTTATAATTTGCCAGAGCATTGCTGTTTTACTGTAACTAGCCAAAGCACGCATTTCCATATATCTGGGTAGACAAACAATTACTGGTTCTCTTGCAATGAGAACTTGAATGATATTTGACATGTCACCTTTGGGACTGCAATTAGTTACTATGAAATACCATAGAGTATATGCCCATAGTTAGTGATTCCCTTGCAATGAGAATTTTAAGGATATGTCACCTTCGGATTGCATTCAATTACCATAGGGAACATTTGTCTTGAAACTTATACCTGATTAAATATTTTTTCCTCAACGCTAAACAGAAAGAAGAGATAGAAAACATAACATAATCAGGATAACAAAGGCGACAAGAAGTATATGAAGCCATATTAAAATTTCTGATACAAAATTTTTCAAGATATCTGCCCGAATTCTACTATACAAACAAAGGGTCATGGAAAACTCACTTCCTCGTAGGAATAACTTTCAAATTCCAACAGCTTTAGCTTATTCTGCCACAGAGATCAATTCGGATGATACTTCTTGGGACTGGAGAATCTTTTTTGTCTCTCCTCTCAGAAATCTTTTACTGTGTGCTACCCTTATTGGTCTCCCCATAAATTCCTATGGATAAGGATATACTTAAATCAGGTTTTTGACATTAACCAGATGCAACAATTATAGTCCATGAGAAAGGAGCAAATAAAGCACAGGAACAAGCAGTTAAACCCAAAATTACCTTTCCCTCAAAAGAGGATAATGCGGCATCCGCCTCCACCTTGGTGTTAAAAGAAACAAATCCATATCCTGCAGATCGTCTTGGATTATCACTGTTGAATATGACTTCAGCAGAAACAACATCTGCCCCATTAGCCTTAAAGAACTCCATAAGATCCTTAGACCTTGCTTCAAAATGCAAATTAGCCACAAACACATTGTGTACAGGCAGCGGCTTGGACGGCGGCGGAGAAGAAGGTTTCACAGTCTTTGGCTTAGCCCAGGCAAGTCTCAATGGTCTACCCTCAAGTTCCTGGTCAAGTTTTAACATCCAATAATGCAACTCAGCACAAAAAATCAAATACCGATAGAGTTTTTTCTGGAAGAGTTAATGATAGAGATACTTACATAGGCTTCAAGATTTTCAAGAACTGCCTTAGCTTCCTCATGAGAACCCATTGTGACAAAGACTAAACCCCTGCTTCTGGTCTTGTTGTACATTGCAACCTTGAGGTGAAAAAACAGACAACAAACCCATCTCAGAAAATACATAATCAAACCTTAAAAACACTGAATAAGCTCAGGCGGGTATTTGGTACAGCGGAGAATAGTTTCCATGATTGAAATCATTTTCTAGCATTTTGGTACGAGAAAATATCCTTCAAAATATTTCTCCATCAAAAGAAATGAAGTTGACTTCTTTAACTTATGGATGTAAGTCGGTTTCCTTTGCAAATACTACAATTCTTAATCCATAACACTAGCTTCAACCTCCATTTTCACAATGTTTTCAATATTTCTTTTTACAACAACAACAACACTCGGTCCCAAACAACTTGAGGTTGGCGATATGAATCCTTATTCCTTTCATTTAGCTAAACTTATATCATCGTCATTACCAAAATAAAATAAAAGTGCAAGTTATATATATATATATATATATATATATATATATATATATATATATATATATATATATATATATAAAATAGTAGTAGCAGTAACAATAACAATAATATTAATTTAGAAGTTCTTTACCAAGTCTAAAACCTATTCCTAACTAGTAGGTATCACCTATATGGTATTTTCTCTTCCATGTGCCTTATCTTTAGCTAAGTCTGCATTGATTAGGTCTTTCGGGACAACTTCCTTCCATGAAATTTTAGGCCTATCCCGTCCCCTTTTAAAGCTTTCCCCTACCATAGTTTCATACATACGAAGCGGTGCATCTGTAGGTCGACACAAGACATGACCAAACTATCTCAACCGACTTTCTCTTATTGTATCCTCAATGTGTATTACTTGTACCTTCTGACGAATGAGTCATTTTTTATCTTATCAAATTTTGTGTGACTGCACATATTCCATCTTAGCATTCGCATTTCTCCAACACTCATCTTATGGCTATATTGAACTTTAGCAGCCCAGCATTCACTACCATATAACATAGTCGGTCTTATAATTGTTTTATAATTTACCTTTCACCCTGGTAAGAATCCCTCTATCACATAACACCTTGATAGTACTTCTCTATTTCAGCCATCCGGTTTAATCCTATGAGTAACATCTTCATCTATCACTCTATTCTCTTGAAACAACGAGCCTAGATATCTAAAAAAAAATTGCATTTTGGCACCATTCCATGTGGTCAGACCTCAATTCACTTTTCTCATGCTGACCAAACTTGCAGTGCATGTACTCAGTCTTACTTCTACGTATCTTTAAACTGTTACTCTCTAATATGTTTCTCCATAGCTCAAGCTTTCGGTTGACACCCCCGCTAGTTTCATAAATTAGCATCATAGCTTCAGCAAATGGCATACTTTTTCTTTCGGTTGACACCAGTGGCGGAGCCACATAGCTCCAAAAGGTGCCAATTGACACCCCTTTGTCGAAAAATTATATTATTTAGATAGGTAAAAGTTATTTTTTAATATCCATATACTATATGTTGAATCCCCTTGACTTCTTCGTATATTTACTTCTTTAAATTTTGACAACCCTTAATGAAAATCATGGCTCCCCTACTGGTTGACACCCTCGCTTGCGTTCAATATTCTTTTTTATAACCCAAAAATCCTCAAGGACCAGTAGCATACGGTTCGCAACTCGATGGATAATGGCGCGTCTCTACCACTCTCCACTTAAATACCAAACTTTTGTCTCGTAGGGTCCAAACTATAACACACACCTAACCTACACGTCAAGTGCTGCACTCTTACCACTTGGCCAAAGCTCTAGGGCTGACATTGTTTTCAATAGATAATAGTACTAACAAAACATAACTGAAACTCTATCTTCATACCCTATCCTGCAGCATGTATTTTTATCATATCTCACCCTACTTCATATTCAATCAAACACTAGAAAATGATATCACAAGTTAAAACATCTTTCTCCATACCAAAAGCAGAAAGTTTTAAAGGTGCAAACCTCAATATCCTTAACAGTACCATATTTCTCAAACAGAGGGCGAAGGTCATCCGCTGTGGAAGTCCAAGGAGCATTCTGAGCAAGAATTCTTGTTCTAGAACTTTCATCTTCCGATTGTTCTTCTTGGTCTTGTTGCAATTCTGGAGTTTGGGCCGACGAAGAGCAATGGGAGATGTAAAGGTAGGGTTTATGGGGTTTAATAGGGAGTAATGGGGATAAAGAAGAAATGTGCAAAGAAACGGTAGAAGGGGATAAAATGGGAATTGTAGATTGGTGGTGAAAGGGAAACAAAGCGGGTGAAGAAGAAGAAGGAAATTGGGGGGTGGAGAAATGAAGCTGAGATGGAGAAGACAACAGGCGAAGTAACGCCATTGCAGCTGCAGTTGGGATAGTTTACGGGACAAAGCTTGGAATTAGAATTTGGAACTAAGGAGACGACTGGATAAGGGGTCATAAAATGAAATTTACACGGCAATTTCCTTTTTATTCTTTTTTTGTTTACGTTGGGAAAAAGAAGTGATTTTTATTATTATTAAACAATTCAAATAGTGTCGAAAAAAACAATTTTGTTATGAACAATAAAAGAAGAAGAAGAATATCGGAGAGAAAGGCAGGAAGAGAGAATTTTTATTGATTTGGGATGAATTACAATGGAATAGGACCCCTCTATTTATAGGGAAAGAGGGAAAGAGTAGCTTAGCCACCAAGTAAAATCCCAAAAATCTCTCTACAATATAGACATTCACATTAAATAATTTATATTTATAACACTCCCCCTTGAATGTCTATTCAACAAATAATGTGTCTCCTTAAACCTTAACTAAAATAAAACTCAGTGGGAAAAAATTTCTAGAGAAGGAAAAAGAGTACACATATCTAACAATACGCATTTTGGTAGCCTCATTAAAAACCTTACAAGGAAAACCCAACCTTGTAAAGGAAAAAGAGTACAGCGCGTATTAACTCCCCTTGATGAGAGCATCAATTCACATCTTTGAGTCGTCGCATCCAAATCTTGTACACTAGCTTCTTGAAGGTTGACATCGATAGAGATTTGGTGAACAAATCAGCCATATTATCACTTCAATGAATATGTTGCACCTTGAAATCACCAGTCTTGTATATATGTAATCTCTTCATATAATGTCGTGGAATAGCCTTTTCAATATCTTCATAGAGGTATTCTCGCTATCACATTATCATGCTTATAGTTATAGCAAGATACATATGTGCACAAATTGCACTTAGGATGTGATACTTCAGGACCAAGAATTCTATATGCTTTAAGCGATTTAAATCCTTCGGGGATTATCATAAAAGTTAAGTCATATACACCATATAAAATAGACCTTAGATGCATATCAAGTTTTCATGCATGTTAGACATATAAGATAGATAAAAGTGATTGCACACACCATTGACTTTATACTTCCAGGTGTTTGATATGCAGGTCAAAAATTACATGTCTTTCACATGAAACCAATTATAGTCAAATTTTGTCTCTTCCGTTTGGCCAATATTTTTATGCCTGTATTCGACATGCTTAAGATCCTCATCTGTACTTAGCGCTATCATAGATGTAGTCGACAAACATTTATGTCGGTTCCAGCATCCTTAATTTTCATAAAGACATAACATAGAGATCTCTTCATTCATATAATCAGGTACCTGAATCTCTCATGAGATTTTATGAAGTGTTATGTCATGTGATATTCTAGATCACTTGCCTCCTTTATTATGATCATTTTGATCATTTGCTCATCCTCTTTATCAAGAAGTTTATTTGAAACCGATTTGTCTATATGCTTTAAGCGTACTATAGACTTTGTCCTTCTAGGACTTAATAGGAGCATTTACAGTAAGAATATAGTTACTTTCTTTGGGTCAGCAAATGCGCCTAACATGCTTTGTAGTATATTGCGGATTAATTATCTTTTTATGAACTTCAAGTTCATATTATCTTATTTGAGAATCTAGATGTACAAATGATAATTCATTCCACGTAACGTTTTCTCAAACTGTTTATCCTCATATTAGAAAAACTAACTTTTTTCCTTAATTTTGGGAACCCATCTTTGTGCATTATGGTGTTAATCAAAATATACATTGCACATCAATAACAAAGAATTATTCGGTTCCTGGCCCTGAACCACTTATGAGGGGAAAATGTAATATACTTTCGTATATAACGTATATCAAACTGATGTAGATATCTTTGTTCTCTTAAGCAATAATTTAGCTATCAAGTGGAGACACTCAATAAATCATTTTGCTAAACCAACTGTGATGTAAACCAACTTATCAAGATGAACTGTCTTGAATAGAAATTTTTAAAATTATGCTCAAAATTAAATTATTGAGCAAGTTATCTCGCAAACATCAGGTTTTGGGTTAATAATAATCGCATATGTAACCATCTCTAGATGCATCTTATGTGATATACATGGCAGGTGAATGAGCTCATATTCACCTTTGATATTTTCAGTATTCATGTGATCCAATCCCAATTTTAGTTGGTCTATTAACTAATGAGAACAAGTAATGTAAGAGAATTCGCAAAGAACTTTCTAGTTCTTTAATATTTATCCATGTGAATTCTCTTTTAGTTTTGCACATTATACTTAAATTAACATGGCTAAATCAATTATGCCAACTGGATAAATTATCTATTGATAAACGTTAGGTTTATACCATGACATGTGCAATTATAAATAAACTCCAAGTTTATTATGATATGGGTTTTTATATCAATAAACTTCTACTTTATTGTGGCATCTTTTATTTGTGTTGTACAAACTGGAGAATAAAGCGGGTAGCTTTTCACATACATAATGCGCCGCTAGTAGTTGTACTAATGGAAGATATTAAGTCTTCTCATTATTTATAGTCTCAATATAACCAAACGCTTTCGCGAATACTTTAGAAACTCAATAAGTTTCTTTGAGACTTACTACAACACAATACCTTATTGGTAATCAATTGTGTTTCTCCAAAATAGTATAATTGGCTGGTCCAGAGTTCTCAATTAATTTGTACTACCACATATTCATCAACATCCATATGGTGAATATCTCTTTCAAAGAGAAAGTTATACCATTATGGTAGTGGTCAAAATTATATGCAAGATTTGTTTCTTGCATCAATGTTGTCCTTTAATAATCACATTACCAATTTATTTTAGCGTACAATAGGTACGTGACCAATGATTATTCATGCCATAATAATGACATTATTTTCTTATTTCTTCTCAAACCTCCTTCTAGAGGTGAGTGCGGTATATTCACTACCGCTAGCACGTTCATATTCTTCCAAGAATGAATATGTATTCATAAATCACATGTTATCACATTTACATCATGAATGGACCATAATCATTTATATGTGCTACACAAAATCTCATGTCAAATGATGGCAAATATTACTTTCACAAAGTGAAGGATTATTTGAGAATCCTTATTATTCTCATTACTATAATGATGACGATTATAATTTCGTCTATTGCCACGTCCACATCCATTGATACCTTCACGGTAATAATTTTGTCTTCTTTTAGGCTTATTACATATTGCTACCACATTCTCTTAAGAGAATGAGAATGAAACAAATTCAATGGACGGGTTTCTACTTCTTTGTCCACAATCATACATGAATTTAATCATGGCAAAGCATAGAAATTTTACCACTTCAGGTGCTTATAATTTCTTACAAACTCCATTAGAGTTATAATCTTTGCTTGTATTTAAAATCAAATTATAGAATTTCAAGAATTTAAAAGAGAAAAATAAAGTAAAATACTTACCTTAAATCCAGAATTTAATCATCAAGGAAGTTCATGGAATAATTGACAATCATTATGCTCAATCCAAAGCTTCTACTCAACTGGTTAGAGTCTCGTGCAGATAACGTGTTATGAACAATAAAAGAATAAGAAGAATATTGCAGAGAAATGTAGGGGAGAAAATTATTATTGATTTAGGATGAATTACAATGGGAATAGGACCCCCCCTATTTATAGGGAAAAAGTGATTTAGCCACGAAGTGAAATCCCAAAAATCTCTCTAAAATATAGACATTCACATTAAATACATTTCTATTTATAACAAATTCAAAATAGTGAATTTTTTGTTACTAGACTGATCGGTTACTACTTGATTGAATTAATAAAAGAAATTGACTGTACTAATTGAATTGAATAGTTGAGTATAACAATCCATTATGATTAGAATGGATAAAGCAACTTTTCTATCTCAAGCAAAAACTCAAATTTTGAATTTCCACACTAGGCTTTTAAAATTTTGGCACCATTATTTCAATTTCCAATTTCTTGTTTGATTTGGTGCATTCTGAATCTGAATAGACTGAAGCAGGTTGATACTTAATATAGACATTAGCATGTTTGTAAGAGATAATGTGCTCTCATCATATACATGACATTTTCCAAATAGACAAGCTCAAAACCAATTTTGTTATTTTGTATAAACAAACCCACAAGCTCATTCTTCCAAAGCAAAAGCAAAAAATGCACATTTGTCATCCAAAAGAAATAAAAAAAGATCTACTCTTCTACAACTAAACCACTTTCAAATCCGACCGAAACATAAATTTGGAACTAAATTGTTGTTGAAAAGTTCAAAACTTGGAAAAGTATTGCGATATGCAGAGGCTAGAGCCTATACATTTGACAATATCGACAAGGTAAAATAGTCTGTTCCTTGGCAAATAATCAGTTGAATTTTGAGCAAGATCATCATGAAATCAAGGCCATTGACTTTTGACACAAGAACTTGCTCAAATCATCCATATAAAGCATAAAGCAGTAACATAAGATATCTAGATTGCAATACAATGCAAGCCAAAAAAAAAAATCCGAAAGGCACCCAAATTAAATCGATATCAGAATTTTCCTAACATGCTTCAAAAGGAAAATATGTCAATCGATAGAGCAAACAGACGTCATGTCCGGGCTTCTCGATCATCCTTAGTACAAGGAAGAACAACCAAATTCTTGAAGGCGATTTGGGGAAGATGACATAGTATGTTACTTTTTACAGTTACCGAGAATCGTAACACCCTTCTTTTAGATACAAGAAAAACCTAAAATGAGAAGAAAAAATTGCAGCTGGTCAAGGGAGGGGAAGGCTTCTCCTGCTACTTCTTGCATGATCTATATTCAGGTGAGTTTTCTCGTAAAGGTGATAAAGGCTGCCTCAATGAATCAACCTCGCTGAAATCAATTTTTCCCTCGACTGGACTGCTTATCTTGGGGCTTGATTTCCTTTTGTTACCCTGGTGAACAATTAAAGATAAACAGAAATATTAAGTTATGAACGGCTGCGTCTAATAACGCATCGAGAGGAAACAAAAGATTAGGCTAAAAGCCTAAAAGAAACTCTTAGAAGTTCACCTTGCCAGAAGAAGGTTTTCCAACAGAACTAGGTGTGTTCTTCTCTTTCTGGTATAGCCTTATC